TTTTTGCGGCGTCGCTGGCCGCGCTTGGGAGGGCGCGTGCCTCGTCTTGCAGTTTGACTTCGTCGACCTTGGCCTCCTCCTTGGCGTCGCCGACCGCGACCAGGAGGGTACGCATTTCGTCGGTCAATCCGGTTGGGTTGTTTCCTCGGCGTTGTCGGCCGCGACCGGAAGGTTACGCTCCTCGTTCTGTGGTCCTACCTCGTCTACGGGGACTGTCTCAGCGGCAGAACAACCTCGGCATTGTCCTCAAGTGCTGGCATTGTTGGTTCACTTCCTTCGATGTCCATGTTGACTATCACTTCCTTTTTATTTTTGGCGACTTCCGCAGCTGTCGAGAAGCGAGCTCGCTCGATGGCAGTTACAGTGGTACTGACCAGTACGTGCGAGTCAGCGAGTTGTGATGCGGTTCGCTCTGAGCGCCTGGCGGACGCTTGCTTAATCCGGCCTTTGTTCTTCGTCGCTGCGCTCGCCCGGCAGTGCCAGTTGCCGTTTCGTTGATGTGTGCGTGCGAGCTCACGTATTGCGTGAGTCGATGTTTGATGCGACGGCGAGTGGTTACCCTCTTTGAGCGAGTTTCGCTGCTCTCGCCTGCGTCATTCGAGGGACCAGCACAATGTCTTTCTCGGTCGTAATATTCGAATCGGCGCCAGCCGGTACAACATCGTGCTCGATTGCAGCTGGGCCCCGTACCTTTCGAGCGACAGACTTGCCGCTTGGATTTTGCGTGACCCCGTTTCTCTTTGGTCGTCGTACGGCTGTGATTCGATTCACAACGATGCGTTGTTGGCGTGTCCTTGGCGACTTTTTCGATTTTGCAGCTTGGGTATTTTCTTCGATCGGAGGAGAATTTTCTTCGCTGACGGAAGAGGCGAGTTCGTCATCGCTAGGATTCTCCTCGAAGTCGATCGTTTGTAGATCGTTTGTCTCTGATTCACAGACGACATTTCCTTGTTCGTCACTGATCTCATACACGTTCGAGCCGAGGACTTGGGAGACGACGTAAGGTCCTGTAAACGGAGGGACCATCTTTGAAGCGATACTGCCAGAACCCGATGATAAGATTCGATTTTTGCGCCAGACTTGATCGACAACATGGTATACGACGTCGCGATGCCTTGCGTCGTAGTATTTAGCCTGCCGTTCTTTTGCATCTCGCGAATTCTTTGCAGCAAGTTCATGGATTTCCTTTATTTGATTCATGCGATCACGCCAATGGTTTATCTGCTCTGTTTCGTCGTCTTTCGCATCGGCCTCGTCCTCTTGCTGGCGTACGGTATTTCCCGGCCACGGGTGGTGGCCCATATTTAAAAAGGCAGTGTTTTTTGCAATACGAGTCAAAAACATAAACCTCGATCAAATATTTTAAATAATCTGCTTGTGCTGTTGGAAGGGTGAACAAATCATAAGAAAAGTGATTAAAATATATATACAAGTCTTTATTAATAAGTATAGAATTATCAATAATATAATATGGCAGTCAAAGGCGACTCAATCAAAAAATAACTAATAATTGCTTCAAGTTTAGAAAATTAACAAAAAATATAATCTTTGTCTTACCACGATAACTTTTACAACTTTTATAAGTTATGTGGCAGACTCTCTTTAACGACAATAAACTTCTATCGTCGGACCTGCCGAGTATATACAATTGTCTTGGACTCTTAGAGTCCTCAAATTGTTTACAAAAAACAGCGCTAAGTAAAGCTGGTCACTCCTATGACGAGCGACGGCCACCTAAAGCTAATGCTTCGCGACCGTCGTTCTCTCCGAATAGCACGGCGACCTAGGGCAAACCCATTCGTCGAGCTTCGTGGCGACCTGAGATGGCTCACCGACCACTACTCATCCATATGAGTTCCAACTCTGCTTCTTAGAAGCTGTTGCATCAATCGACTACATGGTAGGAGACGCCTGCCTATATACGTTTACCAGCTCTCGGTCGCTTATGGGAGCGACGCTCGCAGGCAGACGCCACCTAGTGGTGTGAAACGTAAACGGGCAGGGCTCATTTTCGTCGACTCTTGCGTAGCGGTTTTATACGCGAAGGTGAGTTCGGGCAGGTGTACGTCCCAGGTGTTATGTTTTTCCTCGATATACGCGATTATTCTCGTCTTGAACGTGCGGTTCACGCGTTCAGTAGGATTTTGGTGAGCATCGTACAGCGCGTTGGTGGTGTGTTTCACGCCTCTTTCCTTCAGGAATTGGTCGACAATTTTATTTTTAAATTCGGTGCCGTTGTCTGAGTGGAATATATCGGGCACCCCGAATCTCAAACAGATCCGCTCGTTGAGCTCACGCCAAATCGTCTGGGCGTTGGCCTTGCAAATTAGAATGACTTCGACCCATCGCGTAAATTCGTCCACAAAAACGAGAATATATTCGTTGCCTCGGGCCGTCCGAGGAAAGGGCCCCATAAGGTCGCCAGCAACGACGCTCCATGGTTTTGTAAACGGGCGTCTTCCCATCAAGCCTGCCGGCAGAAGCTGTTGCACCTTGCCTGGCTGACATATTTGACATGCCTTTACGTATCGCGTCACGTCGCGATGCAACGAAGGCCAAAGGTAGCGTAACGCAATGCGCTCGTAGGTCTTGTGTCTGCAAAAATGTCCTGCAGTCGGTTCTTCGTGATTTTCGTGCAGAATTTCTCGGCGCTTATGTTTTGGCACGAGCAATTTCAAGGCATCCTGATCCTCGATTGAGTCTTCGATCGACGCATCAGGCCGGTAGTGGTACAATCGATTACCAACTACTTTATGCCAAGAAAATTTTTGCGGTACCACGCGTCCTTTTCGTCTTCGATGAAAAGCGAAGAAAATTCGCAACTTTCGTCGTCCTCTTCGTGAAGACGCAAGAGTGCGTCAGCGACAACATTTTGGCTTCCTTTCCGATAAAGGATTTTAGTCCGGGCGCTGGTGACACTTGAGTGAACTTGCGAGATCCCCTCGGCGAGTTGACGGATTTCTATATTTTTTGGGTCACTGAAACCGAATTTGAATGTCGCCAGGCCGAATTCCTGGTCAATTTTTTGTTATAAACAAATTAATTGTTTAAACAGCTATATCTTGTAAAATATTGAAGATAGATTGAAACAATTTTTTTTCATTTTATTCGTCTTTAAAAACCAAAGAAATTACATTAAATTAATTGAAAATCCGTCCACTAGAAAAAAAGTTATGCAATAATTAGTGTAAAATACATCTTTTTTCACCTTTCAACCTCCGTAACTTTGCTCGTATTAGTGCGATCGAGCTCATCGACGTCTCATTTGAAAGTTAATAACCTACAGAATGATGTAACATAATTTTTATATACACCCGGGAGCAAAGATTCTCGGAGTTCGAGTTTTATATTCGATTAATCGAAATTTCGATTGCATGATGCACCCCGTGCGTAATGTAGTCGCGAGTATCATTACATGCGCGATGTAAACAAAAATAGTGGTCTGCTACTTGTTTTGCTTGAAAACTTGGTTCGTATTTCTGTCAACTCAAAGGATAAAATTTTTTAAGGTAAGGAGATTTAAACGTTGATAATAATATAGATTACAACTATAAAATAAATAATTATTAACTAAATTTAATTTTTTACTGCTAGCAGGGTTCGAGGGAAGCGCAAAGAAGAGTTTGGATGTGGTGGATCATCGCTTCAAGACATTTTTTCATCTAACAAATATTAAATATTTTTTTCTTTTAATCACCTTCTACTTCATTAAACCTTGTATTTTTGTTTTAGGTTTCAAGCGCATAATGACACAGGTCAGAAGAGTGAAAAGTCAGAAAATGTCGAGCAGGCTAGGCTTGATAACAAGAAATGACAGAGGACAGAAGAGAGAAAAATCAGAAAATGTCAAGCAGGCTGGGCTTGATAGCAAGAGAAGAATTAAGTGTGACGAGTGTTTATGATAGTTGTAATATGCGTGCATGAGTGTGTGAAATGGGATGAAGGCTTTTACCCACCGTATCGTGATAGCTTTATGGATAGCTTAATATACTTTACGATACACATAGTAAAAGCCTTTATCCCAATCTGAAACATGAACAATGATTATTACTATGTAACTTATGCTGCTAAAGTTTACTTTTTTCCAAGCCACTCGCTGAGCCATAATACTGCACTTTTCAAAACAAAATAAACACATGGCTCATCAAGTGGCTTGGAAAAAATTAAACATGAGCAGCACAAGTTACATAGTAATAATCATTATTGATGTTTCGGATTGGCATAGAAGTTTTTATCCACAAAATCATGAAAGTGTATCGTATTAAGCTATAACCCATAATGGTTTCAGTTTTGTTGAAAATTTAATGTATAAAATTGCATTACGCTTTCATGATTTTATGAATTACAAGTTCTATGCCAATCTGAAACATTCATTATAATTATTACTATGTTACTTGTGCTGCTCAAGTTTACTTATTTCCAAGCCTTTTTGTCGAGCCATGTTTTTTATTTGTTTCGAAAGATGCAGTATCATGGCTCAACGAGAAGCTTGGAAAGAACAAAACTTACCTCACTTTGTAAAATAATGAAATTTTACCAGGTTGGAAGCAAGCTTTTTACCTACAGCCTCATGAAAGTTTATTGTATTTTTTATTAATCGTGTGGCCTAGAATAATATAATTTTTCGTAGTTTTATATACAATAAACTTTAATGAGGCTATAGGTAAAGGGCTTTATCATAATCTGAAATCTTATAAAAATTGTTTATTATGTATATGTAAATAATCATTTTATAGTAAATAAGCGAACATGTACGTTATTAATAAATTTTATTGTAAATAAAGACAATATTTCCATAAAATTGTATGTAATGTCATTTATTTCTAGTACCATATGCTCTTTTTATATAATTATACTATCATTTCATTAAATCAACAATTTTATGAGCAATTTTTCGGATCAACTTCCATTTTTTCCAACAATTATTTCCTAATAACTAATAAAGCTTTTAACTTGAACATAATTTTTTTTAAATATTTAACTTTTTAAAACATTTTTTACTAATAATGGATTGATGATCCCTCGTTGTCTAATACTTTTTGTAGTCTGGTAGGTACTGAATCAGTCAGTCGTTGGAAGTAATCGGGTCTATTTCTCATCGCTTCCCAACCCTGTTCTACCCTCACTATTAATTCTTCTTCTGTTCTCGCTATTGACGGCGTCCACTCTCGAACTAATTCGGCCCATACATTCTGTTTGAAAAAAGCGTTAATTTAAAATCAGGAAAGTCGTAAAATAATTTATCGTGAAGAAAAAATTATACAAACCTCAATCACGTTTATTTCTGGTGAACAAGGGGGTAACGGCAATCTATTGAAGCGAGGATTATTCCTCCAAAAATTTCGAACAATATGTGCTGTGTGGATAGAGCAGTTGTCTTCAATAATATTGATGAGATCTTGATCACCAAAAGCTGCATTAATCGAGGGAATAAAGACATCCTCTAATAATTCCAGGTAGCCGTCGGATTTCAATTTTCTGTCAATTGGAACCAAAGCTCCGGGAAAATACCCACAAACCCATCCGTAAAAAGATCTGGTTGCGCGGCCACTCCGACTCCGTGGAAGAATATATTTTTCGTCGTATCTGCTCAAACGTAGTTGATTAATTGTTGATTTAAAAATTACGAAATATTTAAAATTACCTCATACGTTTAGGACGCCTAACGAGTCCTCGTCCATCTTTGTGTGTAGAAAAAACCTAGAGAAAGAAGATAAATTGAAATAAATGAGTATAGTATTTAATGAAAACAAATTAAAAGGTACAAATTTTTTTAAACCTTCTCGTCCATAAATATTGTTCTTCGCCATTCCTCCTGAGACAAGTGCAAATATCGTTGCGCGAATTCCATCCTCGCCTCTTTATGCAAACGAATCAATTTGTTTTTAATTGCCGGTTTGAAGCAGCGAACATCGGTATCTTTGCGCATTGCCCTTCGTACCGTCCATCTGCTGCAATTTAGCATCAATTCGTCCTTTATTTTCGCCGCTGGCATAAATGGTAACTCTTCATTCATCAACTGGATGTTTTGAATTTCGTCAACAGTTAAAGCCTCTTGTCGCCCATTATTCTCCCGCAGATCGACCAAACCTCCTAAGTTCTCCCTCAAAATTTTTTTATATTTAAATAATGTGCTTGGAGAACAGTTCATATATCTCAAAATTTCTTCTTTAGGTGTGTTACTCTCAATCATTCTGGACAAAATTGCCAAATTGTGACGTTTCGGTTGAAAAGCCATTCCTATTTAACAAAATAGAGGAAAAGTGAAATTATGCGACGAAAGCGCGGTTTTGTGAAAAACGTGTTATTTTATTTATCCGATAAAAATAAGTAAGGCAAATTATAGAATAATTTTATAACTAATACGATTCCAATAATAACGAAAAACACAATTTCAGGCGTTAGATAAAAATTTCGTTCGCGTTTTTTTTCGTTCAAATTTTGAAATTTTTTATTTAGACTTACCAATGCGCTTCGAGGTTTACAGCAACTTAGTTACTTTTAACCATAGTTTTCTGCAACTATTGAACATATTCACTTAATGACGATCGATCGTCGTGAAAATAATCTTCGATCTCCGATCGTCGTTTGTTATAAACATCATCGCGCTGCATACGTGATATCCACGCATACTCACATCTTCGTTGACATAGGCCGTAACCAACAAACGTGAAAATTTTAAGAAGAAAAATGTTTGGAGAATCATTAAGTGCATTGGAAAATCCTCTCATTCTGGACGTCATATTTTCAATGATCGACCGACCTACCTTGAAAGCAGCCTCGAAAGTGTGCACGTAAGTAGCTATTTAATTAATCACGCAATGTAGAATAGCATCAATTATAAATGAAAAAATTAATAATGACGATAGTGGTTTTTTGCTTACTATTAAAAATATATATTGTTAGTCAAATTGTTTTTTTTTTCATATTATTTATAGTGTCTGGCAAGACCGAGCACTCGTGTGGATTCGGCATAGGAGCTCCGCCGATTCCCCACTATTTTTCGACACGGAGTTGGAAAGAATCCAAACTAGGATTCATGAGCTTTTCTTCGAGGTCTGCAATGCCAATGTTAATGAGGCCTTCACGGAAATAAGGACCTTTAAATCCATTCTGGAAATTTTAAAAAATGAAGGAGAAATAGAAGAAGAAAATGGATACGTAACATGTAAGTTTAATATTTATTTTTTTATTTACTATTTTATTATAAATTGTTGTAATACATTGCTTTCATTTATTTTCAGGGTCTGAAATCAGAAATATTTACAAGCATTATCATAAAGATGTCTATGTAAGGAAGTAGTACTTCCTTAGAGATGTGTATTGTGTAGATGATTAGGTGGGGAGCAAAGTTGTTGCTTGTAAATAATAAGTGTAGACGGGAATAGAGAAACGGTCAGAAGGATATGAGACGGGTTGACGGTAGTGTGTTGTCGTAATTGTCGTTTCTTTATTTCAGGTATGTTAATTTGTAAATAATTTGTAAAAAAATGTTTCTGAATAAATAAACTCTATTTCAGAGCAACAAATTGGCCATACTCATTGGAACCCCGTCATATATTATAAAACGACAATTCTCAATACATAGAAAAAATCGTCAAGATGTCCCGATGTCTATTTGAAGTAGTGCTCAGAGACAAATCAAGTATCGATGGCACAGGGGATGGCAAATCGAACGTTTTACGTATAAATTCAATTACTATCGAAGGAGGAAAGTCATATGAGTTCCCACTGGAATTGCAACCAGTAGGGTTACACAAGGAATTTATGGCCACAGCAGTATATGCGAGAGTGAAAAATTCCTTGAAGAGGAGACACCAAAAACGCTCAGTCTGGGTTAGCGTAACAGAAGATTTAAAAAAGGCATACGTTGATGAGTGTGGGAATATCTGCTTCGCAGACGTGATTCTAGAAGAGATCCCATTCCCATCGGCGGAAGCGAGTATTAACGAAGAGACGGTGTCACAAATAGTAAGACAGGTTGTGCAAAAAGAAGAAGGAGGATCAACGCACAACTTGAGGAAATTATCAGAGAGATTTGATATAGAGAAATATTCAAATAAAAATCTAAACGCCAAGCAGTGGATTGAGACTTTCGAAGCCGAATGTGAGCGCTTTAACGTAACTGAGGATAGAAGTATTATTGAGATTCTCAGGAATTTTCTAGATAAAAATACGTTGGACTGGTATAGCTCGATGCGAATCAAGGAAACTATTGAAGCTCCGTGGATCGTGTGGAAGGAAAATTTTTGTGAAACATACGCAAATAGAGGATGGAACTCAATCATATACGCGTTTTCTTTTAAATATATTGAAGGATCTTTGGTTGATTACGCGGTGAAGAAAGAGAGATTATTATTGGAAACAAGAAAGACAATGGATGTCAATACAATGATTGATTTGATAGCAGTAGGTCTGCCAAAATTCATAATAAATAAAATAGAGAGAGATGGGTTGAGAAAAACAGAGGACCTATTTAATGAGATAAGTAAATATGAGTATATGATTAAAAGAAATTTCGAGAAAGGAGACACAAATAAGTATAATAATAATACAAGTAATACGAGAAAGCCAGACCAAAAACAAGCATGTAAGGTGTGTGCTAAGTTAAACAAAGGCTCGCGGTTCCATCCTGAAGAATTGTGTTGGTTTAAAGGCAAGAATGAAAACAGAGAAAGGAAGGCTGATAATAAACAGGTCAACAGCGCGGTACTGGCAATCGATGACTTTAGCGAAGAAAAAAACGAGTAATCACACCATTAATTAAAGTCAAAATATTAGTCAATGACTCTGTGGAAATGATGGCAATATATGATTCTGGTGCAAATGTGTCGTTGATAAACGCGAAGTTATTAAAGATTAAGGCAAGGAGAGCCAGTGAGATGAAGAGCTCAGAGGGCATTGTGATTAATGGTGTGAGAAACATAGTCGGAATGGTAAATTTGAAAATAAAAATCATGGATATCGAAAAAGATTTGAACGTATATGTGATTAATGATAATACGTTTAAACACGATTTTTTGATGGGATTAGATATGATAAAAGAATTTAAATTAGTACAGCATGCTGATCTGTCCATCTCACAAGAGATAAAAGTTCCGTTTTGTGAAGAGGAGGGGTCAGGAAAAGAAATTTTAATAAATTTTAATGAATTCATAGAACAGGATCAATGTGAAATGAAAATGGATCATTTGAATGAAAAAGAAAAAAATGAGATAAATAGTTTAATTGAAAAATATAGAACAGTGTTTGCTAAAGATAAATTCGATGTGGGCACTGTGAAAAAATATGAAGCGCGGATTGATGTACAAGTGGAAAAATATTGTAGTAAAAGACCGTATCGGTGTAGCCTAGAAGATAGAAAAGAAATTGAGAATCAAGTCGCGAAACTTTTGGAAATAGGACTGATTGAAGAATGCTACAGCCCGTTTGCGGCACCGGTAACACTAGTCTTTAAGAAAGAAGAGAATAAGAAGTCAAGACTCTGCATTGACTTCAGAGAGTTAAACAAGATAATAACCCCACAGGCGCAGCCTTTTCCGCTGATCCAAGATTTGATAATCAAGGCAAGAAATTGTGAATTTTTTTCGACATTTGATATAAATTCGGCATTTTGGTCAATTCCACTGAGGATCGAAGATAGGAGTAAAACCGGCTTTGTAACGCAGGACGGTCATTTCCAGTGGACGTGTTTGCCATTTGGAATGAAAACTTTACCGGCAATTTTTCAAAGGATCCTAAGTGGAATTTTGAGAAAATATAGGTTATCCGACTTTGCTGTAAATTATATTGATGATATTTTGATATTTTCAAGGTCCTTCGAAGAACATATTCAGCATATTGCAAAAGTTCTAGAGGCGATTATAAGCGAGGGGTTTAAACTCAAGTTTACGAAATGCAGGTTTGCAGAAAAGTTTGTGAAGTATTTGGGTCACATTATTGGATGCAACACGGTTAAGCCGTTGAAAGATAATTTGACAGCGATAAAGAGTTTTCCTACGCCGAAGAATCAGAAAAATATCAGACAATTCCTGGGAAAAGTGAATTTTTATCATGAATATATCCCAAGGATTACTACAATTTTGGAGCCGTTACATAGCCTTTTGAGGAAGGATAAACCTTTTGTATGGTCGGATGCATGTGAAAGAGCATTTGAAGAGGTAAAAAATTTACTATGTTCTCAGCTGGCGCTAGAGATTTTTGACCAGGAGCTACCTATAATTATTTATTCCGATGCGAGTCTGGAAGGCATCGGTGCGGTATTGAAGCAAAAGCAACGTAATGGTGAGGAGAAGACAGTGGCGTATTTTTCAAAAAAGCTAAACGAGGCCCAAAAGAAGAAAAAAGCAGTGTTTCTAGAGTGTTTAGCTATAAAGGAGGCTATTGCTTTTTGGCAATATTGGCTCTTGGGAAAGCCGTTTACAGTTGTTACGGATCACAAGCCGCTAGAGAACTTAAATATTAAATCAAGAATCGATGAAGAGTTAGGTGATTTAACATACTATATATCTCAATTTGATGTAAAAATCAAGTATTCCCCAGGAAGAGATAATTTGGAAGCCGACTGTTTAAGTAGAAATCCAGTTTTGGAGTCGTCTAAGAAGGAAGAAGAAATATTAAAACTAGTTAATTTAATGGAACTCAAGGATATAATAGAAGATCAAAATGAAAATACGGAGTTATATAAAGAGAGAAAAAAAATAAAGAAAAACAATATATTTTACAAAATAATAAAAGGTAAAGAAAAGATTATCCTATCAGAAGCATTCAGCAAAAAGTTAATTAAGAGAGTGCATGAAAATATGTGCCATATAGGTGTAAAGCAATTGCAATTGAAAATATGTCCCACGTATACGGCAAAAAATCTAACTAACAATATTAAAAAAATATGTAAAGAATGTAGAATATGTATTCAGAACAAGTCAAGAGGTCAAAAAAAATAGGATTATTGTCTCAGTTGGGTCCTGCCTCGAGACCGTTTGAGATAGTTTCAATTGATACAATTGGAGGTTTTGGTGGGTCGCGGTCGACAAAAAAATATTTACATTTATTGGTTGACCATTTTTCAAGGTACGCGTACATTTTAACGTCGAAAAGTCAATGTGCGACGGATTTTATAAAATTAATAGAAAAAGTTCCAGAGGTGAAGAAAATTAAAATGGTTCTTGCTGATCAGTATCCCGGGATAAACTCGAAAGAGTTTAAACAGTATCTGGTGAGAAACGGAATTCCAATTGT